GTTTTTGAGTTTTCCTGTACATCAAAGTGCTCATCATTATTTCATCAAGCACATAAAGATGCAAAAAAATTTAGTGCATTCTAGGTTAGCCATAGTAGTATTTGTAGACAAGTTCTTCTCTTCTACACGGGAGGGAGCCACCTCACCGAGAGAGAGCACGAGTATCGCGCAAGCGGCTTGGGACCGTTGACCAATGAGAGACACACACACGGCAAGCACTGTTACCTGCCATGTCTAGGCAAGCTCGTCGAACTCGAACTCAGTTCTCGGTCTTCTCAGTTGTATTAACTAATCGTTAATAAACGCTTTCATAACATGGTGTCAGAAACGGAACACGAAAACGCTCGCACGTGAAGTCAAGACCGATGTGAGTCGCACGGCGCAAGAGTTAAGGCAAGCGAAGACCAGCAGCGCAGAAAATGGCGGAAGACAGCGGCACCGCTACTACGCAGCAGTCGGGCAGGAGTTCGAACGTCCAACTTCCCATGCCGGGAGGGGTCTTCGCAAGTTTGCTGCCTCCTCCGAAGCCACTCGACATGTCCGGAGGCCTGGAGGCATCCTGGAGAACATGGTGGGACGAATTTAAGTTGTTCTCAACCGCCACTGCTCTGAAGTCGCAAGACGCCGAAGTACAGGCCGCGACGTTCCTAGTCGTCGTAGGGGAAGACGCCAGGCGAGTCTACAAAACGTTCACGTTCGAAAACCCAGGTGACGAACTGCGCGTTGAGAAGATAGCGGAGCTTTTTGAAAAGCATCGCAAGCCAGCTATCAACGTGAGCTATAGGGACTTTGTATTCGGCACACGGAACCAGCATGACGGCGAACGATTCGATGACTGGCTTACTGAGCTGCGCACGCTGGCGAAGCAGTGCGATTTTGGCGAGCTACACGACCGCATGTTGCGAAGTCGAATGATTCTTGGAATGACCAACAAGCGACTGCAACAACGCCTCATCAACGACGATCCAACTTTGGAACAAGTGATTCAAAAGTGCCGCATGGAGGAACGTGGAGCCCTACAGTTCAAAGATATCCAAGCTGGAGCATCGCCTGCCGTTGTACATGGACTCAAGTCCGAGACATGCCCTCAATGTGGATACTCTACGCACACAAGCGGAACATGTCCTGCCAAAGGTGCGAAGTGTAAAAACTGTGGTCGGAGGGGACATTTCGCTCGAGTGTGTCGCGCGAAGAACAACTTACCGAAAAATAGAGCATCACCACGGAAGAATGTTCGCAATGTTGAACGATGCAAATCTCCAAGTTCCAGCTCCGAAGAAGAAAAGTTGGTTTGTGGTCTATCCAACAGTGTTGGTGATGAACAGTTCTGGAGAGCTGAAGTCAGAGTTGCAGGAAAGGCAGTTGACTGCAGGGTGGACACAGGAGCAAACTGTTCTGTTATGTCTGCAACGCAACTGCGACGAGTCACGAACCAGAAACCACAAGCAGTCACTACGAAAATAGGTTCGTTCTTTGGCCATGTCAGCAAAGCGGAAGGCCGCATTATGCTGCCAGTCGCCCATGGCAACCAGAGTACCGACGTACAGTTCTACATCGTGAAACGGGAAGTACCCACAACGATAAGCGCTACCCCGTTGCGGAACGACTGAACCTGATCAAGCGAGTGGCGTCAGCGGAAAAGCACTGCAACCAGACAGTAAAAGAACACGAGGACGTCTTCCATGGACTTGGTGAAATCAAGGGTGTCAAGTATCACATGAAGCTCAAGCCAGATGCTCAGGGTGTTACGCAACAGCCACGTACAGTCCCAGTAGCCATCCGAGACCAGCTGAAAAGCCACCTGGATGACCTCGTGCTACAGAAGGTGATTGCACAAGTGACAGAACCAACAGAGTGGGTCCACCCAATCGTGGTTGTGAAAAAGAAGGACAAACTCCGACTGTGCATAGATCCACAAGAGCTCAACAAGGTTCTCATGCGAGAGAACTACTGCATGCCTACACTGGAGGACATAGCAGCACGACTGGAGGAAGCCAAGCTCTTCTCGACGCTCGACGCAGCCACGGGGCTTTGGCAGATCAAGCTAGACACACCGAGTTTGTACCTCTGCACATTTGCAACACCGTTCGGGAGATACAGATTTCTCCGAATGCCTTTTGGCATATCGTCAGCTCCCGAGGTGTTCCAGAAGACTATGCACGTGGTGTTTGAAGGCCTCGACGGAGTTGAAATCATGGTCGATGACATTCTTATCTGGGGAAGGACGGAAGAGGAGCATGACCGTCGACTGCAAGCCGTGCTGCAGAGGTGTTGTGAGGTCAACCTTAGACTGAACAAAGAGAAATGCAAGTTCTCTCAAAGCCAGGTCAAGTACTTGGGACATATCTTGTCACCTGAGGGACTCTCGATTGACCCGACGAGGGTACAAGACATCCTTGCGCTCCCAAGACCATCAAATGTGGGGGAACTGAAGAGCTTCCTAGGAGTCGTGAACTACCCTGGCAAGTTCATCCTGCACATGTCCGACACAAGTGCACCGTTAAGGCAACTCTTGAAGAAAGAGGCGGCCTGGTCCTGGACAGAGGAGCACGATAAAAGCTTCACAGCACTTCGAACAGCGTTGACTGTTGCACCAACTCTGCGGTTCTACGACAAGAACAAACCAGTAACTTTGTCAGTGGATGCAAGTTCCAGAGGAACGGGTGCAGTGTTGCTTCAGGAGGGTCAGCCAGTAGCCTACTCATCGAGGTCCTTAAATGACGCCCAAAAGAACTATGCCCAGATCGAGAAGGAGCTGTTGGCGATTGTCCATGGATGCAGCCGATTTCACGACTACATTTTCGGGCAAACCGTTACCGTGGAGTCGGACCACAAGCCACAAGAGGCGATCTTCAGAAAACCTTTGAATCAATGTCCTCTCAGATTACAAAGGATGAGACTGACCCTACAAAAATATGACCTGCTGGTGAAGTACACTCCCGGTAAAGAGCTGTACATTGCAGACACGCTGTCAAGAAACCCTTCGAAGGAGGAAGAGTCGGAAGTCTTCGAGGTGAATGTCTTGGAGTGTCTCCCTTTAAGAGATGAAACACTGGAAGAATGTCGTCAAGCAATCAGCAGGGACAAGGATCTGAGTACCATGCTGCAGTATGCAAAGAGCCAGTGGCCGAGCAACAAAGAAGACATTCCAGGCCCGTTAAAGACATAATGGCCGTACAGGGATGAAATCCATGAGGAGGAGGGCTTACTCTTCAGGTCGAATAGACTCGTCATTCCAGAAGAGATGAAGAGCACCATCTTGGCAAGGCTTCACAAAGCGCACAGCGGAGTAGAGAAGACGCTCCATCGTGCTAAAGAAGCTCTCTACTGGCCTGCAATGCAGAATGACATCAAGCAGGTGGTAGAAAATTGCAGTGTGTGCAAGGAACACAAGCCGAGGCAATAGAAGGAGCCACTTGTGAACCATCCAGTGCCAACCGCACCCTGGCAGATTGTTGGAGTGGACTTTTTTCAGCACTCGGGACACCACTACATTGTGTTGGAGGACTATTACTCTTTTTTCTATGAAGTGCACCAGCTTCAAAGGTCCACTGCCAAGACGATAATCAAATGTTGCCTGGCAACGTTTACCGTGTATGGTCTACCTGTCAGGTTGGTTACTGACAATGGACCACCATTCAACAGTGCTGACTTCAAAGAGTTCTTGCACAACCGAGGAATTTCACATGTGACATCCAGCCCGTATTATCCTCAGTCAAACGGGATGGCAGAGAGAGCGGTGCAGGAGTCGAAAAAACTCATGACCAAGTGCAGTTACGGAACGCCAGACTACTACGACGCCCTACTCGAATGGCGAAACACTCCCAGGGATGGAGTTCTAGGATCACCAGTTGAAAGGCTCATGAACAGACATACCAGGACGGAAATCCCTACACATCCATCTCTACTGCAAGGGACGAGCACAGACCCAAGCAAGGTACAACAGCGGCTGAGAGACAAACAACAAACTCACCAACGGTACTACAACAAAGGCGCCAAACCTCTACCTGAATTACACGCGGGAGAAGACGTCTACCTTCAGGATCAAGAACGAGGAACCTGGAAACCGGCTGTCATTGTTCAAGACGACGAGGGCATACAGCGCAGAAGGAACAGCATCGCTCTTCGCAGGAGCCAGAGAGCGAAACAAAAACCAGCCCGCTACCGCGACACAAATTTTATTTATGAGTGAAAAAGGGAGATGTAGACAAGTTCTTCTCTTCTACACGGGAGGGAGCCACCTCACCGAGAGAGAGCACTAGTGTCGCGCAAGCGGCTTGGGACCGTTGACCAATGAGAGGCACACACACGGCAAGCACTGTTACCTGCCATGTCTAGGCAAGCTCGTCGAACTCGAACTCAGTTCTCGGTCTTCTCAGTTGTATTAACTAGTCGTTAATAAACGCTTTCATAACAGTATTGGCAGTCTATTTTAAGGTTGCCCATTGCAGCAAGCAGCTACACTTTTTTGTCTTAAATGTGTGGCATGCTGCAGCGTGCAACGGAAGTGTATAGTGAATACCTGTATAAATAAAACAAAACTGACAGGCATTTGTTTTCTTGGGACACAAGTGTGGGCATTGTTTGAGCTGAAGTACCTAATGAATCTGTGGTACCTTGAAGAGGTTATGAAAAACTTGAGCAACTATAAAAAGCACATGAGCAAGCTTACAAATGTTAAACACAGAGTACATTCTAAACATAATTTATTACCTCTGAACCAGACTTAGTGCATGTTGAAAAAATTATCCGGTTCCCACATTAAGGAACAGCCAAACCTCACCCACAACAATACAGAAAACAAATAACCAACCCAGTGAAATCATATAGGTAAAAAAAATAGCAAGATTTTTATTACTTGTACCATGGTGACTCGAACTAAGAGGAGTCTTCTTTCCTTTTGTTATGGCCTAGAACGTTTCTTTAAAATGTAAATGCCTTAATTTGTAAATATTTGATTTCTTGACTGCAGAGTGCAGTGCAGAAGAGTGCAAGCAGGCATGGCATGCCATACAAACCAGGTATGGTCGAGAGTCCAGGAATTGCACAAGCCTAAGCGGAGCTGGCCGGGACAAGATTCGGCAGTCAAGCTGGACACTGTGGAGCTTTCTCAGCTTCCTCAGGCACCAGATCCATCCCAGAAGGTACTATGCATATTAAATTATTAGACTACACATAAATTATAATTATTTTTTTGTGTAACATGCTCATACTTCCTATCAGCTCAAAAAATTTACGAATGGCAACAGCACAAATATCTAGTAGTGGCTCCAGGACCACAGAGGCAACCGGGGGATCATCAGCAGAGACACCCAGAGGCAAGTTTCCTTTCAGGCAACATTCTGCTCTTTGTACGCCCTACGCCAGACCTCTAGTGCTCATCAGTCCCGCCGAAATCGGAAGACGCGCGGAGGAGTGCGAGAGAGTAGGCCAGCGTGGTGGCGTACTCTCCCCGACACGATGCGGAACAACCAGGCTCAAAGTCAGACGACTGCCCGGAACGTCCGCGGCTTACGCCTTCTCAAGGGAAGCCAGTGGCTCCCACAATCCCCCATTTCTCCCCAGCTTGTTGCGATGTGCATGTTTCTGTCGGCAAAGGTACGTGGAGAGATCATTGCATACGACTGTGAACATCCTCTCATGAACGTCACACCATCTCGCCCGAAGGCATCGTCAGTTGTCCCACATTCTCTCCTAGGCTGAAAAACGAGAACCGCACTATCCAGCTCGTGCAAATGAGAAAGTGCAAAACAGTGGCGTACAACCAGTGTCTAGTAGCAGTGTTGCAGACGATCAGTTATTGTGGTGTGGACTCTCACTCTAGTATCGTAGCTAACGGTGTATCAAGCTACGTCGCATGCTTCTGAAGAGAGTTGTAATGCACACTGAACAACAGGAATGTATCAGTTTAAGACAGGGCCAGTGAACCCTGAGCACAGAGCAAATTCGACTGCAACATCTGGGGTCACTCTACTCAGTGCAGTTGATGCGACAGGAACCTGTGCTGGGGGTTCGTATTCCTACAGAGAGCTCCAGTACCATAGCGTGGTTGTGCAGGCACAACTGACAATCACTCATCGAAATGGGAAGGCAACCGTGGATCGGACGAGAGGGGAAGTGAGGTTCCCAACGGGATACCGCTGCGCACTACACAGAGGCCAGTGTGTGGACCCTGAAGACGGACACACGTTCTGGGCAAGGAACCCGGTTGTCAGCGAGTGCTATGGGTCACAGCTTGACGTGCTCTTTGAGGGACTGGTCGAGTTCCTCATACCGGACCACAACGCAGAGAGACCTTCAGCGCTAACTGTTGTAGTAGTACAGGAACAGAGCATGTCATTCTATGTCATTAGTGAAACCCTTAGAGGTCTGTTGACAGCGCGGATATGTTGCAGATCATGTTAAATTGTTCATCATCGAGAAGACCCGCGGAATCGGTTTTACGCTCAAGAAAACTGGCCTCCAAACCGAAAATGTAGATCTCATGTCGTACATCAACGCTAAATTTGTATATGTAGAAAGGCACATTCAGGAACAAATGAAGCTGATGTACAAACACATAATTTGATAGCATTATAACACAGAGACCAAGGTGTTAAGAAACTTACTAGTACTAGAAAGCATATCAGGACCCAGAGTTTGCTTACGCATACAAAAAAGGACACAGATACACGGCGGTCACCACGGGCGTGGTGGTGCACCTACTTCAGTGTCCACCGGTAGAGGTTGTTCTAAGGAAAACAAACCGACGCTACCACAAGCTCGCTGTCAAATATAACAAGTCAATGTATGCAAGTCTGAAGAACCGAATAATGACACACTTTGGTAAAGAAGTGACTGTAATCCCCTTACACCAACGTTGTACAGCCTTGCTGGCAGATGGTATGCCCTAAACCCTGCCCCATTAATGCATCAAGCCCCACGCTGGGCCTCATTTTGTGGGGAGAGGGGATCACATACCTTTACGTCTGGGGACCGTTGCTCATAGGGGAATCCGATGCCCGTCCAACCACAGGGCCGACGGCTACCAGCGAGGGTGGTCGCCCTGCTGGGTTTGCGCACGCCGTGCCAACGATGATCCCAGTATCCACAAGCGTTTATTGAGAACCGCAGCGACAAGAAGCTGCTGTCAAGCGAGCCGTGGACACAGAGTGGCTGCAGCGCCAGCCTAACTGAGAGCCAAAGGGGTAATGAAGTCCGTTCTCCTCGTGTTTCCTGCAGTGGACAGCATGTGCTCGGCATACTTGAGTACAGCCAACGGTATGTTTCCATTTGCTCACTGCAAAAGTTGGATCGAGTGGCTGGAGTGTCTGCTGCAGCGACTGTGAACAACGAAGGTGATGGCATTGTGTATTGCAACCCAATCTGGGAATATTTCTTAAAAATCCCACCGGTGACTAATGCACGATGCATGAAGCACAAGGCAATCCTCAAAACTCCAACGGGCACAACGACCACCTTAGCATTCCATCTAAAGAATCACCCGGACGCACATAAGACCTACATGAGAGAGCGTCTAGCAAGCGGAACTACCATCAAGCTCAAGTGCGGGAGTATGCCGAGTCAGCTGTCGGTAGCCGACACCTTCAAGCCAAAAATGAAACCAAAGGCACCAAGAGCAAAGCACATGACGAAGATGATTGGTAACTTCACCGGTCGCGGAATGCACCCATACACTGTCGTTGAAGAGGGAGGTTTCATCGACATGGTGGCATTTGCAATGCCAGACTACAGCGTGCCGTCGCGGATGACTTTCTCACGAGCAGTTACACCGAACCTCTACGAGTCAGAAAAAGGGAAGCGAAGAGAGCTGCAGGAAATTTTCCGCAGAGGTGCGGAGTGTTATTCCATTGCAACGGATGGCTGGATATCGCGCGCCAAAGACAGATATGTCTGTGTGACTGTTTACGTGATGGACTAAAACTTCTTACAGCATGTGTGCGCTTTGGCATGTACGGAAATTATCAATTTTCACACGGCCAATAGCCTGGTACCGTTGATTGGGAGCGTCATCGAGGAGTGGGAGCTTCCAGCATCAGGTGCCTCGCCGGTGCTACTATATTTTTGACACAAGTGAATCCGAACCACAGCAAAACTCCCCTTTGCCCAGGGTACCGTCCTAGGTCATACTGTTCTGCTGCAGCCGAGGATCCATTGTAATCATGGATGGTATTACTTGTACAAGAACCACGATGGCCAATGCTAGGTTGTGGTGCTTACCCTGTCTCCCCCTTTTTGGATGTCATCTTTTCGTGCACCGTGTATTTTTAGCTTCCAACAGATACCTCTAAAGCAGTCTTGGGTACTATCGCAATACTTGTATCATCACAATATTTTAACTTGTCCTTTTTTTGTAACTTTCAACTGTAAAGTCGTACATTTCTTTTAAGTACCGTATTTTCCGGTCTACAAGTCGCACTGTTGTATACACCAACTCATGTTTACAAACAAACCGAAACGCCCCTAGCGGACGCCACCGGCGCCGCGCATGCGCGATGGGGGTGTGGTCAAGAAGCTCGCCGTCGCCCATAAACAAACCATTGGAATGCGACGTAGTCGGCGTCTGTGCGAGTCCCCCTGCTCTTTTTTGCGTTCGAATTGTTGATTCTACGTCTTCCTGGCAATGTCCCACTACTTGAGCGGCGTCAGCGAAATTACCGAGGCTCGTTACACCGCAAAACTTCGCGTGAATAATGTGACATGTGGCGATTGATTCTGCGTGGACGCCGCAGTATGTACGCTACAGCCTGATTCGTATGATGAGATTTCGTTCGCAATTTTCAGTCGCGACGCCGCTTAGGCCGCAAAAGCGTGAACCGTAGCTTAGATGGTCGACGTTGATACTGAAAATCGCAAGCCGAATCGGACCAAGTGAAGTAGGCATAACAACTTGGTGATGGTCACTGGTAACAATAATCAACATCTCCTTGTATCTACTGTTTACATCGAGCCTGCTTACCAACCTTCAAACTTTAGTCTTCTGAGGCCTGAGCTTACTTCTTACCGCAAGTACTGCACCAACATTTGGTCTACGGGCCGGCGTCGTCTAAGAGAGCAGACGACAAGCAGAAACGATTGAAAGAGAAGACGACAGTTCGAACGATCCGGCCGCCGTTTGAAATTGAAGACGCACTGAACGTAGCCTGCACGTGGTTCGCACAACTCTACAGTTTTCTGGCGTTCATGTTGGAACAAAACAAATAAATCTCATGACCACAAGCATCCGTGAATTCAATCCAAAGTGCTTCCCGCCCAAGCAATCGTAGTCCGACGACGTCTGCTTTTCCCTTTTCACGGCACATATCCAGATTCTCGGACGAACCGAGCACATGAAAACTGACCTTCAAACCTTTCTCGACACTTTTGGTACGGCCCCAGTCGCGGCGTTTTGACAAGAAGGCAGGTTTTTGTCTGGTTCCTTTCAAAACAACGCAGGAATACACGTCTGGCATGGGGACTTCTGCCCACAGCCCCAGACCGGAAGTGCGACCGACACGCCACCACCGCGCCGTGACGTCACAGAGATGAGTTTGTGTATAAGTCGCACTTCCGTATATCGAGCCATTTTTACAAAAAAGTTTATATATCAGTCGCACCTTTGTATAAGTCGCACCTCTTTGCATGGTTTACGCTTTTCTTTTTACGCTGATCGGTACCGCGAGACCGGAATTTCTCATTCGTAATCAGCTGGTTCATACGTACTGTACCGTTTGACGCCTGATGATGTTTAGATTAGCGAGAAATGCCTAGAGCACGGCACTCTCTGGCAGGGGCAGTCAGGATATTCGGAACTGAAGGACGCAAAATGAGCTGGCCAGCTTTACTCAAGCGTACGCATGCTGAGCAAACGAAAGTTTAACGTGCCACAAACCTGTCAACAGTGGCTAGGCTTAGTGGGCGGCCCACTAAGCCTAGCCAGGGAGACAATACGAACGTATTACCTTGAAGTGTTAATGGAGTGAGGCAAGATATGGAACCATGACTGAATTAGGCTACGTCAACAAAACTTTTATTATCACTGCCACACTGTCCAGTCAATAAAGCCATTGAATTCCTTGCTTTCCGAGTCACTTTGGAAGAGTGCGGCGATCACTGGATCTAACGCGATGGGCTCTTCGTCGTCGTCAGGCCCGCTGCTGTAGTCGCTTTCAGCGGCACCTATCAGGTGCAGATTCAATGAGACCGGCTCTTCTGAAACCGGTGGCTATAGTCCCTATGGAGACGGAGTTCCAGGCTTCACTGACCCACTCGGCCACCTCGCCCAATGACGCGTGCCTCATGCACCCAGTTTTCGTGAAACTTTGGTCACCTGCTTGTCATCCAGGTTTCCCACAAACGCCGCAGGACAGCTTTGAAGCTGCAGTTCACGGAAATGTTTAGTGGCTGCAGCATCTTCGTCATGCCGCCAGGAATTATGACCGGGATGCAGTTCTTCGCTTTGATGTTGGTCTTGACCAAATCGGTCATGTGCGCCCTCATGCTGTCCATAACTAGAAGGCCCTCATTCGTGTGAAAGAATCCGTCCGGTTGCCGTGGGGAGCATTTCTCCAGCCAGAGCCCCATCATCTGTCCATCCAGCCTTTCACGTTGCATTGGATGACGACTCCGGGCGGAAAACTGTCTTTAGGCATAGTCTTTTTCTTAGAAATAATCATGGGCGGCAATTTGGTGCCATCAGCGCAGAAGCCAACACGACGGTAAAATCCGATTTCTCGCGGCCGATTGTTCTTACACTGACAGTCTTTTCGCTCTTCTTGGCCACGGTCCTGCCCATCAGGATATCAAAAGTCAGAGGGACTTCGTCCATGTTGACAATTTGGTTAGGCCTAACATCATGGGTTTGAATTTGTTCCCTGACGAATGCCTGGAAACTCGCCGTCTTTTCCTTGAAATCATCTGGAGGTTTCTGGCAGACTGTTGTGCGGGCTCTGATAGCTAGCTGGTGCCGTCTCATGAAGCGGAAGCACCAAGACGGCCCTCCGACAAAGTCAACCACGTTCATATCTTTTGGCAATGTTTGTGCCTTCAGCCGTAGCAGTGTATGACCACGTGGAAAAGAATTTATCTCAAACACTTATCTGTGCCATGGTATTGTAATTTATCCTGAGGGTGCAGCCAAATTTTGGATTGCTTTTGCAACAATATTGGGGAAAATATTTATTTATTGAAAGATTGACAGACGAAGACTAATATTTGTCGGGACCCAGATTATGTTTCTTCACGTCTTCCCGGTGTTTTGATAGTTGTTTCAAACAAAAATGAGAAGGAAGGAAGGCAAGATAATCATTGCGTCGACTTTATTGCTCTTTTTGTTCATTCAGTTTTGTTCAGCCCACGAGAAAGTTTTGCCTCAGTTGTATGGAAAAGGCTGAACTCCATTTGTGTCCGCAGAGAAACATCGCCATTTTTAACTGTAACTTTTGATTGAGCCAAGCATTTTTTCCAAAATTTCACAAAACAAAATGATAAATTACAGTACCCTAGCCGCCCAAAACAATTTTTATTATTCTTGTTCTATAGATTTGTTTTAATTGACCCACAAAGTATACATAGCATCTCACAAATAGCAGATGTTAGATCCGTATTAAATGTCTGTACTTGAATCACTGCTAAGCTGACGGGGCAGTGAAAGCTACGTACTCTTTCTCTAGATCAGTCAGTTACCTGCCGCTCAGTGCCTGATGCATTCTATGCCCGTACCTACCCGGAGAGTATGACCACGTTGTATGCGTGCAACCTTTCATTAATTGTTCCTACGAGCATGTAGCTTCTACCGCCCTGTCACCCTAGCAGTGAACGTACTACTCATTTGCTTGAGAGCTTGACCATTCATTTTTAAGGTTGGGACTCAATTTGTTGTGCAGGTGCTTTGGACGTGCATTTTGAGCATGCTGTTTGTTGCCCACGAAGCCTTACTATTGCCTATAGAATTTTTGTCATCTCTTTCACATTTCGGCACGAGTATATCATGTCCGTATATCATATTCCTCTCAAGACGACATCTGAAAGGCAAAGTGGAAGTACCTGAGGGATAACTATGCCAAGGAGGTGGCCAAGGTGGCAGGAAAAGAGCCCAGTATCTGTGGAACCTCAGACGTCTACAAGTTAAAGGGGATCTGCTTTGGCAGCTTGAGCTTCCTGACTGGCACCTCCACTGTTCCGCAAAGTTATACTTTTCATATTTCCCATTGGTTACCGTATATCGCATCGTCATGCAGTTTACTTAGTATGCAGCTACAAGGTTTTTTCTGTCAATTACGCAAGTCAAAGGCTGCAGGAACGTAAGCAAAGCCAGTCCAGCACTCAAATTGGAGGTAAGATAGCATAGAATGTATTTTAACGTCTCCTCATCAGTATGTTAGTGTGTTTATAGTCACGTTTCCATGTGCCAATCACAAGTGATCATGTGCGATGAAACTCTTCTAATGAATTCTATGAGTGCCTCCATCATGCAGCCAGGCATCTGGATATACCACAGGTGCAACCAAGCCAACTGATGACCAAGATCCTCTGGTGACTATTTGCCCGTCTTTACTTTCTTTTTGGTCTTTCAGAATGAGCATAGACTGTAACTTACAAAAGCTATTTGTTTTCGTTTTTTGCGTGTGTTCCTCTATGCAGTGCTTCCACCTAGTGGCACTTCCTTTGGCTTTACAGCTGCTTCATTTCATAATGCCGAAAGCACCACCCTGCCCCCCCTCTCCCCTCCCCCCTTGATGCATTTTTAATGACCCTTATCTCTTCAATACTGAGCACACTGCCTAACCACCTAGATGAGGGGTCATCTCGTGGCACAGTGTAAACCCTCTGCCCAAGTGCAGTCGCTGGGCCGAACAGAAGATTTTTTTTGGTCTGTGTATTTTGTACAAGGAAAGCCATCGTAGCTTTCCGATTTTAATTTGGTTTGACATTAGTGGTTGATATTTCACTTCAAACTTGAACCTGGTATCCTCGCGGATGAAAAAGCTTTAAAGCTTTATCTCAACTATTCCGACAGCGCAGTATATTTCATTTCAGCATAACCTTGAAAAAGGTTAGAGCTGCATCCCTCACAAGGCAGTCGGAGCAACTGAGTGAGGTATGTGACAGCCCTTTGCAAGAGGATTGCAACCTCGAACAGTATACTTTTGCATGTCTCGCTCCTACAGTCATTAGCTGGCCAGGCCATTCATTTAACTGTTTTGCAAAGTTATGTTGAAACGGATTGTAGCGAGTCAAATCACTCAATTTTCTTGTTGCAAAGACACCGCTAACAAAAACTCTTTAAACTCACAGTATTATGTGATTTGAGGAAGGAGGACTCGAACATCTGTATTTTTCAGAAATAAGATCAGACAGACTTCTGGCAAGTTCAAGATTTTTATTCAGCGGAGCTTGCTCATCTTTAAGTAGATTATGAGATGGAGGACTCGTTCGCAGTGTTTTTTCATGAGGAGTAAGAGGACTCATTCAGTTAATTTTAGGGGTGTGCGAATACCGAATAGTAGTTTTCGAATCGAATACCGAATCGAATCAAGAAAAAAAAGCCGAATATCGAATCGAATATCGAATAGTGATTTTATTTGTAGGAATTTTTCAAAGTGTGCTGCGAATGAGATTATTATATGGGCAGAGTATGCACCTGTTGCAGAATATGCATCTTGTGCAGAACAAAAGCTAAAATGTAAAAAAAATTCTGGTGAAAAAAAAAAATAAATAAATAAAAGCAGTTGCTGTTGGATGTTTGGCACTAAAGATCCAATTTTATGGCAAAAATATAATCTATCTTCCCTAAACGTCACACAAAAACCAAAGTTACAGCCACGCATGTCTTTTTTAAGCCGAACCTAACACCGCGACTTTTTTTTAGAAATGTTTGCATATCTCAGAAAAGGGGTATTTTGCGATATTTGGTTTTCATTATAAGGAAGAAAAAGGGCACCCGGGATTTTATTTCACGTAAATAAACAGATAGGTGTTAAATCTTAGTAAACAGGCTTAAACAATATAATCTGAAGTAAGAAAAAAAAAAGCGTGGTTAGGTGGCGCAAGACAACGTTCAACTGCCGCTATGCATCTATTTTTCCGTCTATCTATCCTGTTTTAGAGAGCCTTGATTTAAAAGAGGGAGCAAGCGAAACTGAAACCACGGAGATGGCTCCAGTGCAGATTGGTCGTAAGTGCGCATGTGTTGTGTTGTCGCGAGGAAAAGGGCGAGCAAACAGAAGGGTGACGACGCCTGCTCTCCCTGCCCTGCCTGCCCGATCCCGATCGACGCTTTCGTTTTTTCGTCACCTTCTCGCAGTTCGTTATTCAAACGCGGCTATCGAACGGTTCGAAACCCTCTCAAATCTAGGCACACTATTTTCCCGTTCCGTTCCGTTCCGAATCAGAATTTGCGGCTTGAGGTTCCAAAAGAACGACGACGATAACTCGGCTGGTTTTATCGGCGTGTTTAACGTGGCTTTCTCTCTGTGATCGTGCAGTCGCCGATTTCTGTGAGCGCGGCAGGTGTGTTTTACATCGGTGTTTCAATTTGAAACGAAGGGCTTAACTCGTGAAAAGAATTAGGCATGGCAACAATTCCTCTCTGGAAGCGGCGCAAACGGGATGTTTCGGTTGTGATTCAAGGGTAGATTGCTTTACGATTATGAGTAAATCTGCATGCTATAAAGATTGTGGCGTTCGTTACTTTTCTTTTTTCTAACCTGTGTGTTAGACTTTTGTGGAATGGTAGGACCAAGAGCTGTTTTTCACATGGTTTGTCTAACATCACGGCGCTTACATCGGGGGGGAAAACGGCTTTTTTTGTCAGCTTCGCGGCGATTGCGCGTCTTTGCCCGAATATATCGAATATTCAAGTGACCAAATACTAGGAATTTGATTCGCGAATCGAATTATTCTGGAAGTTTCTATTCGATTCGAATTCGTACATTCGAGTATTCGCACACCCCTAGTTAATTTTTACATTGGCTTCCCATGTTGGCGTTTTCGAACCTAAAGAGTACACTGATGCTCGCAGTGTAAACGGATGTTTTTGAGGATAAAGCAGACATATTCACATATGCTTTTGCAAATGACGGATCAAAGAGCTCTACACCTCTGCGTGGCTTTTAATTAGTACATTCAACTTTCCTGTTTGCATCTTGGCAAAAAAAATTGACAACTAATACGTGTATTGAGAAGGTGCTCAAGTGTTATGTAGGCTAGATTTTAGAAATCAGTGCAGTGCTAAACAATTTAAGCCTAAATAACCTTTTCTTCGCAACTGCAGATAATTTTAAGTGTGCACCAGCATATCCCAAAGACACACACACACACTTGTTCCCCATCTGGCCCGACCCCACATTAACTTCGCGTCTCCTCGGCCAGCTGCTTCAAAGGGTTGCTGATCTAGAGTGCTTGGCTTTTATTGACAGTGGCAAATGCGTTTCCAGGACCCACCTTCGCCCTTCCAGGACTCAGCTGTTTCCTTGGCTGCACAGCGTGGACCAGAGACAGAGAGTACACATTCATCAAGCCCAACCCCTTTAGATATGAAGGAAGTGACCGAGTTGCCTGGTGCGCCTCAACCTGCTGGTGTTCAGCCAGTAAAGCGAAAGACGTCCATGGATAGTGGAAACACACCAATAGAGCAGGTCCTGAGGGCAGCCGCTGCTAACCCGAGGTTCTCAGACTGCCCTCCAGAGCACACGGACAAGATAGCAGAGTCCCCGGCACAGAACCGTTCGTTCATGCAGCGAATGGTTGTTGACAGGCGCCAGCATTTCATCCGTCAGATAAGGGGCCTAGCACATGATGAGCTAGTAGTTGGCTGCACAGCATGGATCAGAGAGTACACATCCACCAAGCCCAACCCCTGCAGATGTGAAGGAAGTGACCCAGCCCCCTGCTGCTCCCCGACATGTGCCTCGGCCTGCTGGTGTTTGGCCAGTAAAGTGAAAGAGGTCCATGGATGGTGGAAACACACCAGTGGAGCAGGTCCTGAGAGCAGCCGCTGCTAACCCGAGGTTCTCAGACTGCCCTCCAGAGCACACGGACAAGATAGCAGAGTCCCTGGCACACAACCGTTCGTTCATGCAGCGAATGGTTGTTGACAGGCGCCGGCATTTCATCCGTCAGATAAGGGGCCTAGCACATGATGAGCTAGTAGTTGGCTGCACAGCATGGATCAGAGAGCACACATCCACCAAGCCCAACCCCTGCAGATGTGAAGGAAGTGACCCAACCCCCTGCTGCTCCCAGACATGTGCCTCGGCCTGCTGGTATTCGGCCAGTAAAGTGAAAGAGGTCCATGGATGCTGGAAACACACCAGTGGAGCAGGTCCTGAGAGCAGCCACTGCTAACCCGGGGTTCTCAGACTGCCCTCCAGAGCACACGGACAAGATAGCAGAGTCCCTGGCACACAACCGTTCGTTCATGCAGCGAATGGTTGTTGACAGGCGCCGGCATTTCATCCGTCAGATAAGGGGCCTAGCACATGATGAGCTAGTAGTTGGCTGCACAGCATGGATCAGAGAGTACACATCCACCAAGCCCAACCCCTGCAGATGTGAAGGAAGTGACCCAGCCCCCTGCTGCTCCCCGACATGTGCCTCGGCCTGCTGGTGTTCGGCCAGTAAAGTGAAAGAGGTCCATGGATGGTGGAAACACACCAGTGGAGCAGGTCCTGAGAGCAGCCACTGCTAACCCGAGGTTTTCAGACTGCCATCCAGAGCACACGGACAAGATAGCAGAGTCCGTGGCACAAATTTGTTTGTTCATACAGCAAATGGTTGTTCACAGGCGCCGGCCTTTCATCCGTCAGATAAGGGACCTAGCACATGATGAGCCAGTCGTTGGCTGCACAGCATGGACCAGAGAGTACACATCCACCAAGCCCAACCCCTGCAGATGAGAAGGAAGTGACCGAGCCCCCTGCTGCTCCCCGACATGTGCCTCGGCCTGCTGGTGTCCGGCCAGTAAAGTGAAAGAGGTCCATGGATGGTGGAAACACACCAGTGGAGCAGGTCCTGAGAGCAGCCACTGCTAACCCGAGGTTTTCAGACTGCCATCCAGAGCACACGGACAATTAAGATAGCAGAGTCCGTGGCACAAATTTGTTAGTTCATGCAGCAAATGGTTGTTCACAGGTGCCGGCCTTTCATCCGTCAGATAAGGGACCTAGCACACGATGAGCTAGTAGTTGGCTGCACAGCATGGACCAGAGAGTACACATCCACCAAGCCCAACCCCTGCAGATGTGAAGGAAGTGACCCAGCCCCCTGCTACGCCCCGACATGTGCCTTGGCCTGCTGGTGTTTAGTCAGTTAAGCGAAAGAGGTCCATGGACAGTGGAAACACACAAGCAGAGGAGGTCCTGAGAGCAGCCACTGCTAACCCAAGGTTTTCAGACTGCCATCCAGAGCACACGGACAAGATAGCAGAGTCCCTGGCACAGAAACGTTCGTTCATGCAGCGAATGGTTGTTCACAGGCGCCGGCCTTTGATCCGTCAAATAAGGGACCTAGCACATGATGAGGTAGTAGTTGGCTGCACAGTGTGGACCAGAGAGTACACATCCAGCAAGCCCAACCCCTGCAGATGTGAAGGAAGTGACTGAGCCCCCTGTTGTGCCGCGACATGTGCCTCGGCCTGCTGGTGTTCGGCCGGTAAAGCGAAAGAGGTCCATGGATGGTGGAAACACACCAGTGGAGCAGGTCCTGAGGGCAGCCGCTGCTAACCCGAGGTTATCAGACTGCCCTCCAGAGCACACGAAGGAGATAACACAGTCCCTGGCACACATTCATTTGTTCATGCAGCGAATGGGCAATCACAGGCACTTGCATTTCATCCGTCAGATAACGGGCCTAGCACACAATAAGGTAGTAGAGGAACGACAGCAGTAGGAGAACAGGGAAAGGGAGGACATGTAGAGGCAAGAGAGGGAGAAGCTGCATGAGGCTGAAATGGAGAGACAGGAAAGGGAAAAGCAGGAGGTGCAGGGAAAGGAGATGGAGGTCAGGCTAAGAGAGCAGTGGGATTCATCTCATCAAATAGACTTTACGGTAGAACCAGAGACTTATGACATCACTAATGACTGAGCATAGTGGGTGCCGCTACATTCCGTTCCACCGTAAGTCCGAGCATGGCAGATGCTGTGCACCATCACAGGCAATGACGCGCTGCAATCGCGTCATGTGAATGTGTGCTACGCGCGCCGCCGCACGAAAACGGCAGGTCATGTGATATGGTCTCGGCGCCAGATTGGCTGCACCTGCTCATGTAGTCGGCCGTGCTCCGAATTGTGGTCGCACGAAGTATAGCTCAACACGTGGCCCTGATGTCACGCAGCTGCGGTGGCGCTGTTGACGGCACTGCGCATACGTAGAACCTTCACTTTACGCGAATCCTGTTTCTGCGCACGCCCAGTGCCCACACCTGGTGTGGGCAAATGCGGGATTGTTTGTAAACAGCGTGTCGGTCTATAGGACATGAGGATCGATGGTTGTGTGCTCTCTTGGAGGGTGGGACATGGTCTTCCTCACCCTATATGCATTTTTTCTATTTGCACATTTATCTGTAACTGCTATCAAACTCATTAAACTGCCTGATCTACATGACTTGCCATCATGGCTACCTTTTCGCTAATTGCTGCTTTCTTCCGAGGCTTCACCTGTTTTCACTGTGCTTCTTGGTTTGGCCCGTTGCTGGAAAGCGTTAGGGGTCACCTTGATCATCACTGTCTCGAGCCAGATGGCTTGCTTGCTTTTCTAAATGCCTGTCTTGGTTGTGGGATCTGCTGGTGCTTGCAAATAAGTTAGGTTATGGTATATGTTTGTTATTAAGGTTTTATGGTCAAAGACTATGATGCTGGTTCGAGACGAACATGATGTCAAGAGGTTTGGTTTTTGCTGGTGCTGTAAAGGTCTGCCAGTCTCCATGTGGTTGAACTGGAGTGTGTGTTTTTTTTTCAAGTGGGAACTGGTACATTGGCAATTTGCATTTCAGCTTAAAACAAATGTGAGAAATTCTTCTTGCCTCCCTTTTATACCTTTAGTTCAATCAAATGGCCCAGTGCCCCACATGAACGTTTTTCCCTCAATGGCATAAAGACGGCCTAAATGCCTCCGCTCTAGGTCCATAAAAAAAAATTTAGCGCTTTTATTTGTGAACTTTGTTTGAGGAAAGTGGTTTTTCTTTTTATATACTATAAAAACATGTCCATCACCTAGGTGTCAGATTTTTAAACTTTTTTTTTTAAAGTGCCTTCAATCTGTCGGGTCCACGCTGTAGTATAACGATGAAGAAAAAATAGAAGTGAGTTTTCTTATTATCTAGGAAAACAAACATATGCATAGTCAAAAACCATTCTACACAAGTTTTAAGGGGAAACACCATTCAGAAAAAACTTCTGCAAAAAAAGTTGATTTTGAAAAATGTCATATTTTCATCAGCGACATCAAAATATTCCCAGAAAGTTTCATTAGCTTACTCTGCATAGTTAATTTTTTATAAATTATTTTCGGGCCACTGATGATAAAGAAAAGCTAGAGGTTGGAGCATTTTGAACACATTTTTCTCTATTCCACTTTTTGGCATAAACTTCACTTTAGGAAAGCTATCGTTCTGTTATTATGTAACTTGGATTTTTTTTTTAAGTTTTTTTGGGGTGAAATTTTAAGGGGAGATAGCTATGAGCTAGTATTTTTCTGTAATTTTTCATGCTCAAGAACTAAAATTTTTGACAAAGAATGGACATCTAAAACAGAATTTGTGTGATTGTGGCTTTCTTGTCATGAAAGATGGTATAATATAGAAATATAGCTCCATAGGTATCTGCTCTGAACTGTCCTAAAACAATATAACACATGGAAACGACAAATTTATAAATAATTTCAAAGCAATAGCTGTTCTTGGGGTAAGTTCCGGCATGAATTGGCAACATTGAACAAAATAGGTGGACGATCCACGGTTGATCCAGGGTTGATCTGTTTATTTGCCGAAATCAGATCCAATTCATACCTTTCCTTGCGTCGTCAGTTGCATATCGCACCGTTGCACTCGTCGCTGTCATTCTGCAGTTTGCGACATGGACGGCGTCTTGCTGGGGTATATTCAGTGGAAGCGGTTCAGCGTACACCGCCTGCAATTCGCATCTGGCGTGCGTATGTGTATGTTTAGTGTAGGGGAGGGCACCACAGCGTCGTTGCTCAGGCAGGTGCAACGGTGGCGACTAAAGTTAGTGAAGTTTGCAGTTTTGTTCATTGGAGGCAACGACCTGGCGAACAGCCAGCCACCGGACGTGATCGTAGGCCACATCCTGGTACGTTGGGTATTTTTGATCTTATATTTGTGTTAGTGGCCACACACCACGAAATTCAGACACTGCAGCTTGTTCACTCATTTAGAGGTCCTTGTGCAGCACCTGCGGAGCATTGCGAGCACCATTTCCGTGTTCAAGGTGCTGCCAAGGTGCTGGGTCGACCGGGAAGCTGAGGGCCGCGGACTACTGATGAACAGCCACCTGGCAAGTAACGTGAGGCCAGATGGCTGACGTCTTCCTCATCAACCCGAATGTAACTTGTGCCTTTTATCCGTAGTCTAGTAGAATTGGGCAGGGGCCACTGGCCTTCTGTGGTGTCTGCAGTCTAAATAGATCCTTGTCAGGAAGTGTCCTATTCATAAGGATTGAGTTTCACGCAAGAAGGTGGACGCAAATATGTGCAAGAAACATTCGTAACACCAAAAATTCAGAATTATCAATTATCACAATTATATATGCACCGACTATGCCTTGCGGTAACAAAGAAGTTGCTTAGCTTGTGGCTTGGCGATCCCTTGCATGTGTGTCTCGGTTCCAGAGACCGAAGACAGTTGTCCAAACTGAACCTCTCTCTGGTTACAGAAGTGCCAAAAGAATTTGCTCGCAAACCAAGAAGCACAACGGAGGTTGACTGCTGGAAAGCGATGAAGTTCAGACTTTTATTACCTTACACTGGGCCGGCAGTGTTGAAGTCTGTCCTTCACCCTGGCCCTTACATGAACTTCCTCACTTTGCACTGTGCTACATTTCTTGTGTCAAGTCCCAGCGTCATCAATATGTTTATCATGCGGAGCCTCTTCACCACCACATCGTAAGGACTTTTGCAAAGCTGTATGGAGATGAAAAGGTGTCATACAATGTTCACTGTGTGTCGCATCTCGCACCTGATGTACGAAATCAAGGACCATTACATGCGTTTAGCACATTTCCTTTTGAGAACAATCTGCAGCGCTTGAAGGGACTTCCCCAGAGCCATGCTCAGCTGTACAATCACTTAAAAGACACATGCAACGGAAAAAAACATTTTTTTAGACAGCTTAGATGGAAAAAGGATGTCATTAAACGATTTTACAACGAAGAAAAAAATTTTTAGAGCTATATTTACGGGGCTATACGAATTTGTAGTTGGTGCTCGCGGGAGCCGTCGCTGGTCACGTGGTAGGCCCGCGCGCCGCCGCGCTGCGTCGCCGCCGCACGCTGAGTGTTGTGCAAACGCCGCTTCAACGCGTTTCTCCACGCCGCCCCCGCCGCACAAGTTCGTCTTCTTCGGGGCGCCGCCGCCGTCGTCTGACCGGCGCACAGGTATATCACGTCTGCTTGCGCTTTTTCAGGAGTTTCCTTTGGCCTCTAAAAGTTCCTTATTCATCTTGGTTTTTTGTTATACTTCAAACAAAGATGAATAAGTTACTTTTAGAGGCCATAGGAAGCTTGCGAAAGAACGCAAGCACCTTGTGATAAATAAGGACCGGTCACGTGATAAATACGGACCACTTTTCCGCGGTGCCCGCGGGCGCCAACTACAAATTCGTTTTGCGCCATAAATATAGCTCTAAAAATTTTTTTTCTTCGTTGTAAAATCGTTTTATGGCGTCCTTCTTCCACCTAAGCCGTTTAAAAAAAATGTTTTTTTCCTTTGCGTGTGTCCTTTAAAGGAGCAGGGGGGTCAAGTGGACGTAGCCAGGAGGTCTTTAGACAGTGTCCAGCTAACAAATAAGCATGCAGGTGGACCTATTCCACCAGCTTATAAACCGCCCCAGTACAAGCGTGCAAACTTCTCAGATTTCGTGTTTATTGCAGAGACAGTCAACTGCTGCATGATAGAGGACTCAATCATCCCTGTAGATAATTGTGGGCACTTAAGCTGCACTCAGGCACCTTGCATCATTGGCCAAGAATTCAAGATAAACGAAAAACTTCTAAGAAAAGCCATTTCCACAGAGGTCCATTAGTCTTTTCGAGGTGGAATGTCCGTGACCTTCTGAGGTTCTCTTACCGATTTAAAATGGTCGTCATTCCTCAGCTCCACATCTGTTAAACCTTCGCACATGATGAGGCTACAGACTTTTTTAATTTTTGAATTTCATGAAAATGCACTGCTAAGCATTTGACACCAAATTAAAACAAAAAAAGAACCTAAGGGGTACAGGGCAACATGGGTTGGTAGTCATTTGAAGGCCGATAAGCTAGCAGTAAGAGATTTTGAGGATCTACTGAAATAAATGGGTGACTAACGCTGGGCACAGGTTTTTAGCTATTTGTACAATCAGAGTGTCGACACAATATGGTGAAAGCGAACTGGAAAACTAAGGTCTAAATATTTAGGAACTAGTGGGGATGCTGAGAAGAAAATAGCTCCAAAAAGGACAGTTAACGCAGCAGAGAGGAGTATGTGGGATGCAGGTATGCAAACTAAATTGTCCTTAGGAATGTACAGGTCTTTCAAGACGGATATCGAGAGTATGTATGACAATTCCAGGGGAGGCACATTGTTGTTCGAGGCAAGGTCAAGAGTGTTGCATTGCAGGACATACAGAGCTAGATACCAAGAAGTAGACATGTCATGCACAGCGTATGGAGAGGATG